GAAAGATATAACTGGTCTTTTTCATATAATTCTTCATAAAATTTAATCCAATTTTGATGATGTTTTAAAAAATTGAAATTAAATTCACCACATGAAATATCAAAACAAATATTTATAAATTTTTCTACTCTAGCAGTTTGTTCATCATTTAAATTTCTTAATGATTGTGGCGGTAACCACATCATTATCGATTGAGGAAAAGCTAATTTTAATGATGAACATATCATAGATAATTTCGATTTGAATAATTGTAATTTATTATCAAATTGTTCCTGTTTGCGTTGTAATTCACGACTAAAAAAAACACTCTGTGACATTTCCAGCTTAAGTAGTATAAAACATACTCGCAAACTTCTCGGCAATCAGGTGACATTACGACTAGATCAATATGAGTATTTTCTGTTATTTTTTTTAACCATTCGATATTAACTGGACAAGTCTCACCAACAATACTGCCTACATGAATAAAAAATAACGTCGTTGATGATTTTTTAGCAACCCAACGACGTATATCAATGTGATCAGCCCAAGGACATTTTTTACGTAATTCAAGTGTAGTTTCATCTATTAATAAAAATAAACCATGTGTAATTTTAATTAAATTTTTTTTTATAAAGATTTGACGGCATCCCCAATTTAATATTCCTCACACATGTATTCGTAAAATCAAACATAATGTGTAGAATATAATAATTGAGATAGATGCCGTTGTTTTGTTTTAAACTCATTCCTACTTACTAACATATGGTGGATGATAATTGAAATGATTTTTAATTTCTGAACTATTTAAAATTTTCGAATTGTGTATCAATTTGCATAGATCACAATAAATCGATCGTATAGGACCTTCTCCAAAAAAAACAATATTTTTATTTTGAAAAATGCCAATAGCATCATCTTGATTGAAAACAGGAAGGATATTCGCTTTTGTTTCAACTGATGGAAGTATAGTTTTAGTTGTAGAATCAAGAAGATCAGGGAACGACGAATTCATTGTAGAGTGGGTATTTAGAAGAGTGAAAACGTTTAAAGTAAATGATGTGTGCAAGCAAACAAAGAAGAATCATTCGCAGTCGACATAGAACCAATTAGGATCTGTTCGGAAATTATATAACTTATTCTAAAAATTTATTCTATTAAACTATTTGATGAATCGATGTATACTCTTATCTTCTTAGATCATTAAAGACATTTTTTTTTCTGATATTAAATCCTTTTTTTACATTTTTTAATCAATGAAAGAATAAATACCGACCGACATTACTTGAATGCTATTTGTTTCTTGTTGAATTTACACGGTTAAAGTATGTATCATTTCTCGATAAAACATTTTTATAATCAATGTAATTTTAATCATTTCACTTTATCTATGGAATTTCTCATCCCCACGTAAAGATATGCTAAGTAATGACTATTCATTTTTTTTGTTCATAGATCAAATAATAAATGATTCACATGTATGACTTATTGAAACAAGAAACGAGTTAATTTCAAAAGTAAAGAAAACAGCAAAAAAGAAAAGAAATATAATTAAATGCACTAATTTTCATCATGTTCGGTTTTCAAGCGTTTGTTTGGTGGCTCAGCTTGAGAATCACGATCCCATAATTTTTCTACAACTTCACTTATTCGTTTATTAATATCACGAACTCCTAATATAAAAAAAAATTAATATGATTTTCTTTTGAATATTCATAAGTTCTGCTATTTACCTGCTCCGGAAAGATATAACTGGTCTTTTTCATATAATTCTTCATAAAATTTAATCCAATTTTGATGATGTTTTAAAAAATTGAAATTAAATTCACCACATGAAATATCAAAACAAATATTTATAAATT